CATGTAAAGTTGCCAGGCAAACTAACCTAATTAACAGTCATCGATCCTACAGTATGGTCTGTGTGGAGAATTCAGGGACCCAGAGGGAGAGCTCTCATCTTGACACCTTCAGAATGTACCGTAAGAGTTAGCCTAAATTCTTACTCATTATTATGCCCAAAATGGAAGGGAGAAAAATAGTCACTTAATATAATACAGATGGCAGCGTCAAAATATTAGTTCTTTTAGCAGCTTTGCCAGTGTTCCTTGATGGTAGCCAAACTGGTGCTGGGCAAGCCACAAAATCTAGACTTCAATCTGCCGCTTATAGTTGATCTTTGGCACAGTTCACTTAGGCAGTTGTTATAAAATAGTGCAATTTTGCAAGATATGGTGGAAACATTGATTATTCTAATCATGAAGTCAACTCAACTATTCTACTCAGGCCAACTACCCAGCGTTGTATTCCAAGAGTCCATAAATTGGTTACTTGGAACTTAAACTCTATTTTCTCACAGGAACAATGTATGTTATGTGGATGGAGTTTCCCAAGGCCAATGCATAAAAGCCTATTTAACTCATACTGTGATTTAGCTCATAAATATTAATATTTCTAAACTTTGGGTGTTGGGACTGAGCAGCCCTTAGTTGCAGGAAAGAAAAAAAAGTATTATCTTTTTCAGGGTCTAGAGCTGACCCTTGGCAGACTTTTGAAAGAGACTCATTTTTTTTAAAGATTNGCATGTGCTACCATGTTCATGGAACAAAATTTTGTAAGGGCTTGTCTAGACCAAATAAACTTATAAATATTGGTGTAAATTTTAGCAAATCAAATATATATAGTAGTATAGCAGAAGAAACCCAAGTAGTGTATCAAAACAAGCCCAATTACGGGTTGTTTCACAAATGTAAGGATGATGCAACATTAGGAAATGTTAGTTCATTGCATCAGAAGATCAAAATAGATGCTGCATAATACTTGATAAAAACCTCAGTATTCAAATGTGATAAGAGCTTATTTAAAAATAGGACACTTTCTAATGTGACTAACTGCACATGTAGTGAGATTCCACAATAAAATACTGGAAGCATTTATGTTGTGATAAAAACAAGTCATAGATGTCTGTAATTATTAATATTATCTGTTAGCAGTATAGAGGCTCTAGACAGCAGAATGAGAAAAAGAAGTCGTTGTTATCACTATTTGTATATGATGTTGTATATTTAGAAAATCAAAATGAGTGAAGTAAACTTACAACTAATGATAAGAGAGCTAAAGCAGACAATACTGACAATACCAAGTGTAGGAGAGGATGTGGAACAACGAGAACGGCCCTCATTGCTGGCGGGAACTAAAGTGACACCGCCACTTGGGAGGACAGTTGGGCAATTTTTAAAAAGTTGAACATACAGTGGCCATACAGCCTAGCCATTCCACTCTGTTATCTGTCCACGAGAAATAAAAACATATGTTCACACGAACACTTGTACATCAATGTTCATCAAGGCATTATTTATAAGAGTAAAAAATGGACACAGATATCCATCAACCAGTGAATAGATAAACATGTCATACATCCATACAGTGTAATACTATTTAGCAGTAAAAAGGAAGGAGCTACTGGTACTTACATGGTTGAATCTCAAAAAGCATCGTGCTAAGTGAAAGAACCAAGAAGCAGAAGGCTCCATACTGTATGATTTGTTATTTTAAATTCTGGGGAGGCAAAATTACAGAGACAGAAAGTATCAGAGGTAGGAATTGACTATAGGGAGGTCCTTAAGGAATTTGGGGGATAATAGAAGTTTCTAAAATGTGATTATACTCATAATTGGATAACTGTATATATTTACAAAGCTCAGTGAGCTGCGTGCTTAAAATGGGAGGATTTTGGCGGGCCGGCCAAGTGGCTCAGTTGGTTAAGAGCTCGCTCAAGAGTGGGAGCTCGAGCAACAGGGTTGCTGGTTCGATTCC